GGGGGGAGACCAGCAGGATGGCGGACGTGCCTCACCAACCGGGCTTCTGTCTCCTTCAGTCTCTCAGAGGCAGACAAAGAGCCCAGTCTACACCCGTGGTGAAACCAGAGGTGCAGCCTGTTGAGAAGCAGGAGCCAGAAGACCCTCAGGTCTCCGGGGAGCCAGTCTTAGAGGTGACAGGAAGTACCCGGGCCTCCCACGGCAGACGGCAGGGGTGGCAGGAAGGGTGGCAGGTGGCTGGAGAAATGCTTCCCCTGCCGGAGAGTTGCTCTGGACTGCCGACCAGCAGCCCCGCTGTCTTGCTCTACGGTGTGAGGGGACCCAGTCTCCCTGGCCGCCAGCCTCCTGCCCTTCAGTCACCATGGCACCTTCTCTGCCAAAGCCGTCTTCTTCAGAGCAACCGCGGAACTTGCAGCCAGAACCTACCGTCACGTTCCTGTTTATACTCCTGAGCACAGCGGAGCCCAAGGAGTCCAAAGACCCTGAGGGGTAAGGCTGAGTGAGTGTGTGCAGGGGAGGGAGGCAGAGGGTGCTTCTCTCTATTAACATTCAGACCTGGGCCAGGACTCGGCCCTGGGATGCGCAGACCTGGGCCTGGGCCAGCCCCCCTCCCCAGACCCTCCCCCAGCCTCTGGACCCTCTGGTCCAACCCTGGCTGCGCACTCTTCCCAGGGACGCAGAGATCCAGGAGGACCAGTTCCTGGACAAGGAAGACTGGGGGGCCCGGCGGACCTCACAGGAAATCAGCCATTTGCACAATGATTGCATGAGGTGAGCTGGGCCGGGGCAGGTGGGGGCGGGTGGGGGGACAGGGCCTCGGGCTTGACAGCGGTGGGTTTGCACCCTCGCGTGCCCCTCCTCCTTCCCCTCTTCTGCCTGCTCACCGTTCTGCACTGGATGACCTCCTCACTGGCCAGCAGGTCCCCTCCCTCCCCAGCATCGGTGCCCTCCTTCTGTGTGAGCGGAACCTGCCCCACAGGTGCAGGAGGCGACCTCTCTTTCCCATCGGGCAACTGGGTGCCCGCATGCCTGGTCAGCAAGGCTGCCTGCAAGGGGACCCCCACCTTTAACTGTCCAAGAACTTGAGGGAGCAGTTTGGTCTGTGGAGCAACAGCAACGGGGGTGGGGCTCTGTTCTCTGGGTGCCAGGCTCTGGAGTCTGTGTAATTCCGCGGCCACTTGGCCCTCCGTGGTGATGCCAGGGTCAGACCTCTGCCTGGAGACAGAGGTTTGGGGGGTGGGGCAGGGGGACACATTCCCTCCGGGCTGCACGTGGGCTCCCATAGCAGAGATCCGAGGGGTGGGCACGTTGATTCATACCCAGAGCACTCGGGCCGGGCTACTTCCGGGGCCGACCCTCTTGCTGGCCTGGAACCACGCAGAATTCTGTCATGGTCCCCGCTGCAGCCCAACAGGCTGGGATGGCTAGCCTGTGGGACAGAGCAGCCGGCCCTTCTCCTGCTGGAGAAGAGGAAGACACACTCTT